GGGGTAACCCCTGCGCATTGCCAAGTGTGACCCAAAAAGAAAAAAAAAAAATATATATATATATAATAAAAATACCAAACTTCTTTCCACGTCTGCTACTCCACTCTCTCTAAATTACACTCTTCTGTATAATCAAACCCAACTAAAGATGACAAACATCTGCCACTAATGAAGATATTTAAAAGTATGTAACGCAGGTCAGTATAGCAGGGAATGACTGCCTTGCCCACAGCAGACCCAGGTCAGATCCCTGCACTACATACGGTCCCCAGAGCCCTGCCAGGAGTGATCCGTGAGCACAGCTGAGTGTCCCCTCCCTTTATATATACCAACTATTCTAGGTAACTCTCCAACAGGCCTGCTATAATGCTCTACAGGAGGCTGTCACGGAAAAAAGCAAAGAGCTGGGAGAAGGAAAGAAGAGGCACCTTCGCTGTCCCTCCCCTTCCAACAGCCACAAAAATCTTGCTAAGACCTATAAAGTTGAATTCAAGCTAAAATTAAAATAAAATTATCCCCCCACTGCAATAACAATGAAAAAACAATAAATTTTTCAAAACTAAACCTTCCATTATTTCTGTGGTCCGTGAACAGTTCCTGTTGGGCAGGAAGGGGGGCCACGCCCACTAATACTCAAAGGTTACTCCTGGCTCTGCACTCAGGAATTACTCCTGGTGGTGCTCTGGGTACTTTATGAGATGCCAGGGGTCAAACCCAGGATTAGCTGTGTGCAAAGCAAATACTCTACCTGCCATACTAATGCTCTGACTCCTGGAGACAATTCAATCCCTGTAACATTGACACTCTAGCACAAAAGAACCACTCCACTCACATAGGAGGGAAGGAAAATCAGTGAAAAATCTGAAATGTGCACTTCAAACAATACACACCTTTCACAGTATCCTGAGCTCAGTGAAAGTCAGACCATTTGCTGAATGGCATGCTGAGACTTCCTTTCAGCAAAGTTTGGGAGAGGGAAAACACTACATAGACAACATAAATCAAATACTTTTTCACGGGGGCTGGAGCAATAGCACAGCGGGTAGGGCTTTTGCTTTGCATGGGGCCGACCCGGGTTTGAGTCCCAGCATCCCATATGGTCCCCTGAGCACCGCCAGGAGTGATTCCTGAGTAAGCAGAGCCAGGAGTAACCCCTGAGCATCGCCAGGTGTGACCCCAAAAAGAGCAAAAAATAAATAAAAATAAACTTTCACTATGTATTAAAAGTTAGTAGGACGATGAACATGGCAGCCTTCCATAATACAGTTAAATCTCACAAACAATGCTAAACAAAAGGTAGCACTGTCCTTCCATTGTTCATCGATTTGCTCCAGTGGGCCCAGTAACCTCTCCATTGTGAGACTTTGTTGTTTCTGTATTTGGCACATTGAATACATCACGGGTAGCTTGCCAGGCTCTCCGAGAGGGGTGGAGGAATGGAACTCGGGTCGGCCAGGTCGGCCGCATGCAAGGCAAACGCCCTACCCACTGTGCTGTCGCTCCAGCCCAAACAAAAGTTACAACACAATAAAATTACAAAAATGGGCAAAATTACCCCGTGCTTAATTTTAAACTCAAGCTATTAGTGACAACAAAGGAAATTAAGTAGAAAATCTAGAGAGCAGGTCAGAGTTTGTCTCTTCAGAAACTAGTTTAACACCCGTAGTCAGTCTGTGAAAATTCACTTAAAGAATCATTTCTTCACCTTACTCAACCAGAATTACTGTTTAAAGCCATCCTCGGGGGCTGGAGTGATAGTACCGCAGGAAGGGCGCTTGTCTTGCACACAGCCAGCCCTGGATGATTTCCCGGCATCCCATGTGATCCCGAGCCTCACCAGGAGTAATTCCTGAATGCAGAGCCAGGAGAAACCCCTGAACACCACCAGATGTGACACACACAACCCCCATCTCAATGCTTACAGAATATATCGAAGTGAAACTCATTTCACAATTTCTTTAAATGCTGTATTCTGATTTCAGAAAAGGTTAAATTTATACACGTGTGTATCCAGCTTTAAAATCCTCCCTAATCTTAAAGTTTAGCTTTTAAATATCTTAAGACTACGCATATATTACAAAAATGAGTACAAGTTAAATAATGAAAGGAGCTGGAGGAGTAACAGTAAAGCAGGCAGGGCGTTGGCCTTGCAAGACGCCGGCCCGTGGCATCCCATATGGTTCCCCAAGCACCTAGAGGAGCAATTCCTGAGTGCAGAGCCAGGAGTAACCCTGAGCATAACCAAGTGTGTCCCAAAAAGCCAATAAACAAACAAACAAAAATAATGAAAGGAGGGGCCAGAGATGTAGTTCTTAAAGTTTCCCCAGATTTGCATAGTGAAGGTCTGGGTTCAATCCATGGCACCACATGGCCTTCGTGAGTGGCCCTTAAGCACACAGTCGGGTGCAGACCCAAAACAAATACTAAGAATAATGGACTATATTCAAGTATATATTATAGCTCAGGTTTGGACCTTGCCATATCAAACGAAGCTCGAAGCTATTAATAAGAGCATAAATGACTAGACTCTCAGTAATTCCTATTCCGAGAAACGTAATGGAAAGGCACCCCAAGGAGGCAAACATATGAATGAATGGACTAACAAGACCAGTTACTAGTATGCAAAGCTGTGAGCACAGGTGAAAATATACAGTCTAATTCCTAAAAAACAAACTCCAACCTCTTCTACTCTAGTTCTACTCTAGTTCCCTGTCCCTGTTGTAAAAGGGGGTAGAAACCTCTTACCACATACATAACAACCTATGTAGTTGTTAATACCAGGCGGAAATGCTCAGCACTGGCTAATATCTGGAGAGTGGACACAACATGGCAGAGTCCCCCTTAGTTTTGGACACAAGACAGAGCCATACTGCAAAAACTCAAAAACCGTAACTGTCATTTTTAAAAATATTCACTCAGGAACCAAGTGAGTCTTTTCCATTTATTTTTAATGTTACTTCGGTCCCAAACAAAAAAAGATCAAAACTCTAAGAAAATTATTATTACCAAGATTTGAACCCTACAAATGCAAAGCTGAATAATCATATTCCTAAGACAAAGTTTGGATTTGTAAAGCACATCCAACAAACCAAAAACTTCACATACAAACTTTCATGAAAACTTAGTCATTAACTAAAAAGTTACTGGGCCCCCATCAGAGTCAGGAGCTTTTGTCAAGTGATCATGAGGAAAACCTGAACCCAAGGACACCTAGACTGCGAATGCTCCAGGTCTAGACAGTCAACTAGCTCAAGAGATTACTCTATATCGGAGAGGCAACTGCTCGGACTAAATTATTCTCCGAGGATACAGCTGATAAATGTTGATTTACCAAATACAATTTAGAATCATACTGTTTTATAAAGACTGGTCCACTTGTGAACTGGAAACACTGCTTTATTAAAAGAATCTTTTTTTTTAAAAAACCTGACTCTTCGAAACATGATCTGTAGTTTTAAGGGTGGGACCTTTTTTTGGTTTTTTGGGTCACACCCAGCAAGGCTCAGGAACTACTCCTGGCAGTGCTCAGGGGACCATATGGGATACCAGGATCAAGCCTGGGTCCGCATGTGCAAGGCAAACGCCCTCCCCGCTATATTATGGCTCCGGCCCCCAAGTAGTTTTCAAATTGAGATCAAACTTCTGGACCCACCTCACCAGTGATTCAACGAATATCCAAACATCTGCCTGCAGGTCCCTAAAACACAATCATTTTCTGTAACTAGATGTGTGACAAAGAAATGCAGCAAAATGTTCATTATAGGACTTCAGGAAGTTATTGGGGGGGGGGGGGGAGCAGGATGCCAACTGTACCATCTTTTTCAATTTCTCTGTTGAAATTCTCCCCCAAGATCTCAAAGAATCATTTTAAGTCAGAACACCAAGAACTAGGAGTTAGTCCAGCGGAGAGGGGGGGATAGTCCAGCGCAAAGAGATAGTCCAGCAGATAGGGCGTTTGCCTTGCACGCGGCCGACCCGGGGTTCGATCCCGAGCATCCCATATGGTCCCCTGTGAGCACTGCCAGGAGTGATTCCTGAGTGCAGAGCCAGGAGTGACCCCTGAGCATCGCCGGGGGTGTGTGGGCCCCAAACTAGAAAATAAGTGAACAGAGTTAGAGACGGAGAGGCAGAACAGTGACCAGACGCGGCTGACCCGGGGGTGGGGGTGGGGGAATCTCTGGAACCACACAGGGCCCCCCCCCCCCGAGCCCACCCCCCAAGAGTGATTCCCGAGTGCAGGGCCAGGAGTAAACCGTGAGCGCCGCTGAAGGAGGTCCAAAAACCAGAACGGAGAATTTAAAAAAAAAAAAAAAGAAAACCCACCCACAAAGAATATTCAGGGGCCCGGGGGTGGGAGGGTTGAGTGTGGGGTGTAGCGGGGGACTGAACCCGGGGCCTCCCCCTCCCCATCCAAGGCGTGATCCTCGAGCCCGCCGGGAACACAAAAGAATTTCTCTCCCGCGCGGCCTCATACCCGCACCTGCAGCCGCCCGGTGCCCCGAAGGAGGGAAAAAAAATTTTTTTTAACAAAATTAAATTTAAAAAACAATCCTCCTTTTAAAAAAGGCCCAGTCCCACCGGAGACGCCTGGCAACGGCCAAGCACGCCAAAGCGACGTCCAGAAAATCCCAACACAGAAATCTTCTCCCTCGGCCCCGCCAAGCCCGCGGCCGACCGGCTCAGTCGTGCCCTCGGCCCGGGTGGGCTCCCCACCGGGGAAAAACCCCACTTTGGGCCAACTTCACCGGCCGGCCCCCCCCCCCAACAACTTTGCCTCCCGCCGCCGGGGCTGCCCCAGGGGCGCGCGTCCGAGCGCCCACGCCGCGCCCCTTCCCCGGGCGCCGGCTGCAGAGCGGCCCCGCGCCGCGCCGCTGCCCACCCCACCCCACCCCCACCCCCGCGCCCGGACCCCCGAGGAAGTTGGCTCGCGCCCGCGGGGAAGCCGGGTGCACGCCCCGGGCCCGCCCGCCCGCCCGGCCGCCCGCCCGCCGCGCCCGCACCTCTCGGTCCTTGAGGCCCAGCAGCAGCACCTCCTCCATCAGGGTCAGCCGCGTTTCCTTGGAGTCGCCCTTGTCGTCGTCGTCCTGCTCGTCGCGGCGGCCCTGCGCGTCGTCCTCGCCGCCGCCGCCGCCGCCGCCCGCCGCCCGCTCCTTGTCGGCGGCGTTGCGCGACGCCTCGGTGCGCCGCTGCACCAGGCCCGAGCTGCGCTGGGTCAGCGAGGTCATGGCTCCGGCCGAGGCGCCGCGCCGCGCCGGCCCGCTCCGCCGGGGCTGCCTGGCGTCCCCAGGCCCGCGCTTCCGGGTTAGATCCGGCCGCCGCGGCCACGTCCGTCAAACGTCATGGGGACAGCGGGCGGGCGGGGCGCGCGGGCGGGGCGGGGCGCGCGGGCCGGCGTGCTGGCGCCCGCGACCCCACAGCGACAGCGTCCAGCCCGAGCGCCGAGGCGGAGGAGGAGGCGGAGGCGGAGGCGACGGCGACGGCGACGGCGACGGCGACGGCGGCGGCGGCGGCGGCGTCGGCAGCGGCGGCGGCGGACGCGCTTTGCAATATGGCGGCGCTGGCTGACGTCACCAGAGATGTGGCACTGCCGGCGCGGGGCGGGGCGGGGCGGGGTGGGCCGGAGGCGCCGGAAGTAGCGAGCGGGCACCCGGCGGCAGGGGGCGGGCCGGGCCGGAGGGCGCCGGAAGTGGCAGGCAGGCAGGCACCCGGCGGCAAGGGGCGGGCCGGGCCGGAGGGCGCCGGAAGTGGTGGGCTTGCCCCCCCCGCGGCAGGGGGCGGGGCTGACCGCAGGATACCGGAAGTGGCGAGCGGATACCCAACCGGGAGCCTTCTTTCTCTCCCGGTCATTCCCGTCTTCTCCGCCGGGACCGTGCAGTCCTCCCCCATCCCCAGTTCCTAGGAATTGGCTGCCATCCTCCCATTTTTCTCAAGGCTCGGGGTTCGAGCCGGCGACCGGCGCGGCCTTTTCCCGGGAGCACCGCACGCTCTCAGGCACGAGCTGGGGGTGCGGGGAGGAAGCGGGAGTTCCCGGGGAGACGCGGGAAGGACCAGGTCGGTCCCACCGACCCACCCAGGGGTGCCGGCTGCGGGGCTGCGTGAAATGAGAGCTGACGGCACATTGGCCGGGGAGGGGTGCTTGTAAAACCTTTTTCTTCCTTCCGTCCGTGCCCATGACCAGGATGCAGTTGAGTACTGCCCAGACTGTCCATGCCAGCGAGCTCAGCGATCTGTTTTATAGAAGCTATAAACCTCTGGTTTCGTGCCACGTCTCTGTGCACGCTGAACCTCCTTTCTGTTTGTTTAGGGGCCACAGCTAGCGGTGCTCGGGGGTTGTTCCTGGCGGGCTCGGGGGACCATGTGGCATGCTGGGGATAGAACCCCGGTCGGCCGCGGGCAAGGCAACCTCCCTACCCGCTCTGCTATCTCTGCCTCCCAAATCCTCCATCTAGTTGCCGATTTCACTCCTCTTGGCATGCTTGGTCGTTGAGTGATGCTAAAGAAGACGTCCAACCTGTGGAATAAAACTTGGGCATGAGCTTCTCCAAAGAGAAAAACTTTGCTTCCTTTGGATACTTCAGATGTCAATTTTTCTTCCGTCGAATGACCCTTGGATTCTTAAGATTCTAAAATTGTGAAATCTGTCTAAAAACCCAAGTTTTGGGGCGGGAGAGACAGTACAGCTGGTAAGGAACTTGCCTTTATAGGTTGCTAACCCAGCCCAGCTGGATTTAATCCTTGGCCCTACCTTCAGGAGTAAGCCCTGAGCAGGGCCAAAACATTAAAAAGAAAATAAATAAAATACATCAATAAGTTCTCTGATTCTCCCCCTTCTTGATGTTGATTTTTTTGGGTTTTTTATTTTGGCCTTGGGGGCCACACCCATCAGTACTCAGGGTTTACCCTACTATGTGCTCACAGATCACTCCTGGTAGGCTCAGAGACCATAGCTGGTACCAGACATCAACCCATGTTAGAAGCATACAAACAAACATCTCACCCAATGTATTATTGCTCAGGCCCCAGATTCGCCCGCACTCCAAAGAGAAGGGTTAAGGGCTGGAGAGAAAGATTGTACAGAAATGAAGGTGCTCACCTTGCACAAAGTCAACCCCAGTTCGGTCCTCACACCGCATTGGTTCCCCTAAGCACAGCTAGGAGTGATCCCTGAGCATCACTGTGTGTGGCCCAGTTACTCAAACCCCCACACACACCAATAAAAATGAGAAGGAAACCTAAACCTAATTTCCCTTGCCTTGATGTGGACCTATTCGTTTGAAGGACTGCCTTCAAGTGAATAGAAGGTGAGTAGACAGTGTGTGACTTCTTATGCTAGGTCATAAAAGTCTGCCACTGGCTTGCCCCATCTCAACTCTTTCTCCCTCTCTCCGATCAGTCACTGTTGGGAGGACCTGCTACCACACAGACACTAACACCAACTAGGACGGAGCATAGGCCCCTGCCCTCAACCCACTTAAGGGAGCATTATTGAAAGTAGAGGCCAGCTTCAGTTCAGTCTTTTAAGATTCAATGCATGAGATCTGTCTCTTATCCCCAGCACTACAAGAAAAAAGAAGGGAAGACTGGACCAGCTAAACCATTCCTGGATTTCTCAGAAAAACTATGAGAGGGACCAGAGAGATAGTACACTGTTTGCCTTGCTTGCAGCTGACCCGGGTTCAATCCCCAGCATCCCAACAGCCCCCCAGCACCATCAGAAGTATTTCTTGAATGCAGAGCCAGGAGTAACCCCTGAACATCACAAGATGTGCCCCACCACCACCACAAAAAAAAAAAAAACTAGAAAAACTAAGAGTAAATATTTGTTTTAAGCTGATATGTTTAGGCTGATGTGTCATACAATAATAGACACATAGATGAAGGCTGTGGACTTGGCACAAGTGGTAGGGCACATGTCAGGCATTTGCAGGGCCCTGGGTTCACTGCTTGTCCACCCCCAGAACCTCTCGAATCCCCAAATGGTCCCCACAGCTAAAAAGTAAAACACAGTAACAAACTACTTAGATGCATCTGCACATGAATACATAACAACTAATAAGTCTTCCTTAGACATCTTTCTAGAGGATTTTTTTCTATATTCAAAAAAATGTAAAACTTTTTTATCCTTTTTGTGCAAATAATAGCACATGATACACATTGCAGTTTTGTATACTGATTTTTTTCACAATGTTGGAGAGTTTTCTACATGAATACTGAAGATTTTCCTGCTTTGTTTAACTGCATCATTTTCTATTAAGCATATAGTTAACAAGTCAATCTCCTGTTGCGGAAATTCAAGTTGATCCCAATCCTCAACAATTATATATAATGCTGTAATAAATACAAAAAATAGCAACATGCATTTTGTCCACGCGCCTGACTGTCCTCACCGGGGCCCCTTGGAGGGGGGCAGGTTGAGTTTCCCTCCCCACCCTGAGCAGAGCCCCGGCAGCCAAAGACCTCCAGAACCAGCCACAGCCATGCTGAGACCACTCTCCACACGTCTGGACAAGCCTCATGCATAAAGGAACCGGCAGAGGAACCCAGGCATGCGGGTCCCGGGGCTGAGATCTCCAAGCCTGCTTAGATCGGAACTGGGCCTCCTCCACCCAGATCCTCCATCTTCCAGTAGGTAGGTGTCATACCCACCAGCTGCCGCCGGCGCCAGCTGGTCCCATCAACGACCAAGACCCAGAGACTATAAAACCCAGCTCCCGGAAGCGCGCGGCCTCGACATCCTATTATCTAATTCTTATTTTGGAGAACCCGGCAGGCTACCGAGGGTGTCCTGCCTGCATGGCAGAGTCTGGCAAACTTCCCGTGTCGTTCTCAATATGCCAAATACCAGTAACAATGATGGGTCTCATTCTCCTAACCCCGAAAGAGCATTGAATATGGCTCTTTTAAAATCTCAGGGCTAGAAAGGAGACGTTAATGGTGCCTGCTCGAGGCAATCGACAAACAACAGGATGATCGTGATCGTGATCGTGATTTTGTCCACAAGAGTGTTCATGGTCTTTCTATTCATGGACTCTTCGAATTACTGAAACTTCACAGGATCTTGTTGCTTCACCTCTTGTTTGTTTGTTTTCAGAGTTGTTCCTAGCTATTTCTCCTTGCTATTTTCCACAAAATGAATTTTTAAAATGACCTTGTCAAGAAAAAGAAAATGAGAAGAGGAAAGAAGTGAAGGAAGAAAGAAGGGAAGAGAAGAAAGAGAGAAGGAGGGAAAGAAGGGGAGGATGGGAAGAGGAAGGAGGGAGATGCTAAAAAGGAGAGAGGAGGAAGGGATGGAGGAGAGGAAAGGAAGGGAGAAAAGAAGGAAGGAAGGAAGATTTCCCCCATGCCCTGAACTTCAGGCCTCTGCTGCTGCCCAGGCCGTCCACACCCCCCTCACGCTACTAGGGACAACCGGAAGTATGCAATAGTGAGTCCTTTGAGCAAGTGAATCGAAGTCTTCCTTTCTCTCCCCAAATGCATTATACAACCTCTGCCAGGCACTTAGATATAGAAGCTGGGCAACACATTACAGAGGGTTCACTCTCTTTCAAGCCTCACTCCCCTCTCTCTGCTCCTGTCTGGCCTCTTGCACTCTCTGACGAGCACAGGGACCTTTGTCTTACTTCTGTCCTGCTTTCTGAGGCACCCACACAAAGACACGCAATTTACCCGTGAAGAAGCAGAGCCTCCGGGAAGTTAGGTAAACGCTCCAACATTGCACACTCCGCAAATCGGGAGCCTCAATTGGAAGCCAGGCCCTTAATCCAATCATTGAACAAATATTGACTTTTAGACTTATTTGCTCTAGGCCAGGAATCATGCAAAGTAATGTGTTGCGTGCAAACTGTTACTTCCTTAGGAAGCCAAAGGAGGTAGTCATGACTTCAAACAACCGCTTAGTGGAGGGAACAGATTTGGGGAGATGGGGGGTAGGTTTTGGGTCACCCTGGCAGTATCCAGGGGCTACATAATGCTCAGGTATTACTCCTGGCTCTATACTCTAGAATTAATCCCCAGCGGCACTCAGGAGATCATATGGGATGCGAGGATCAAACCTGAGTGAGCCATGTGCAAGGCAAACATCCTAACTACTATACTACTTCTCTGGCCCCATCATTTTATTTATTTTATTTTGTTTTTTTGGCCACACCTGGCAGTGCTCAGGGCTTACTCCTGGTTCTGTGCTCAGAGATCACTCCCGTTGGGGCTTAGAGAGCCAGATGCGATGCTGGGGATTAAACTCAGGTAGGCCACCTGCAAGGCAAGCGCCCTACTCTCTGCCCCTTTACATGTTCTGTGAGACTGAGCTATAAGGTTCACCGTTCTTGACTTCCTGGCGGCTGCATCTGTCAGAAAGCCACATCCTGGTCATAG